GGACCGACGACGACAAAGTGGCTTCCAATGCCCCCCCGCGGTCCGCCGACGACAAAGGCGCCTCGCAGGCAGCCGCCTCGGGAGGGCCCCGTCGGAGGCGGAACCCGCGGGCTGACGAGGGCAAAGAGGCTACATGGTCCCCCCCGCTGTACACCGACTACAGAGTCGCCACGCAGACAGGCGCATCAGGATCGGCCGCCCCCTGGGGCTCATGGCAGTCCCGGGGCGGGTGGGACCGCCAGCGGGACGCATGGGTCGACGCAGACTGGAGGGCCAGGGGGAAACGGCCATCCCCCAGAGGGGATACCCACTATGAGGACAAACGCCAACGGGGGTGGGACTCCTCCCCCAAGTGAGCGCGACAGGGACCCGCCACCGGGAACCAGGCCCCCCCCCCCCTCCCTGGCTTGGGGAGTCGGCCCTCCTGTCTGGGAACAGTCGCTTTGCGCGCTACTCGCCTTCCCACCTGCACGTCCGCCCCTTCCCCGCTCTCTCAAAGGCTGGCCTGCGCAGCTCGTCTGCGGCTCAAGACCTTTCCCCCCGCTCATGTCAATTCTCAGAGTTGCCACTCAGCCCGTCAGGGAACGCAGCGCTTGCTTTCTGGACAACAACGACCTCGGGCAGCTGGGGACAACCTCCACCTCCCTATACAAAGTGGTCTCCGTCGCGCTGACCCTGTGGGCCATATGGGGCCCCTCTGCGCCAAGCGGGGCCCAATGAGTCGGCTGCCCCATGGTCCTCAACCGTCCCTTTGCTGCGCACAGACACGCAATTGGTGAAGAATAAAGACAGCACGGACGGCTGCCCCCCACGGGCCATCGCTTCCGTGGGTGGTCCCTTCACGACGGGGGCTGGTTTCACCGCAGTGACAGGCTGAGGCCTTAATACTCCTGTGCCACCTCTTGGGGCTGAGGTGCACCTATACCATCACACTGCGTTTAGACTACCCACGCTTGTTCGTGGGCTTCATAGACCGCGAGGATTCGGCTGAAATAATCCACTCCCACGGTTCCCTTTGGCTTTGTTCTCACTGGACAATGGCCCGTCTTTGTCCGCTTGGGCGCCCACTTTGGATGACTGGGACTGCAGGCCAAAGGCCCACCCCACGTGCTCCACCTGTCGTACCGCGCGGCACTCCGCCTGCCCCTTGCTTGCTCACCCCGCTCGGTGGCGCCCTGCTCGCGTGGCACTGTCCCCCCCAATGGGCTGGCACCCATTTCCCACAATGGCACTCTTTCCACACTTCCTACCTACGGTGGCCCCGGACAAGTGGCATCGCCCCCCCGCCTGACGGGCGCCTCTTCCCCCTTCAAGTTCACAGCTCTTGCAGCGCGCACTGTTGGGTTCTCTGCGGTCACCGCCGCCGCCAGGCCCACTGGCTGTGCCCCTTCTCCCTTCCTCCTTTAGTTTACCTAACTTGCGGCTATCGGCTGCGCCTCCCCCCCCCGTCCTCCACGCACGCTGATCTGGCGCGCCGCGCCACTCGCCCCTCCCCCCCCCCCCATCGTGGCAACGTTCACGCGCGTGCTCCGAGGTGGTCACACCTATCCCAGCGGCGGGGCGCGATCGCCCGCTGGCTCCGGTGGGTGGGCCTGGGGAGGCAGGATTCCTGTACAAGTGGTCCATCCTCTGGCAGGTCTGAGCCTTCCCAAGGCAGACCCGTCCCTCCGGCCCTCGGCTTCGCTTGTGACATCGCCCCCTTCCTCTGGACGGACTTGTTGCTCGCGTACGCCAACGACGCCAACGACCGTTTTCACGGTGCACGGCGCACGAGGCACGCGAAAGCCCAGCGGTTCTTCCACGGGCAGGTCCGCAGGCCTCCCGCTGGGTGGTGCAGCCGTGGTACAACGCAGCGTTTCCCCCCATCCACAGTGGCAAGGAAGTTGCAGGCTGGGACTCTGACGACTAGGCTGCCGACGCCTGTCAAGTTCGACGTACCTGTCCTCGAGCACATTAGGTGCTCTGCGAGTGAGGCTTCCTTCCTTCCCCCTCCCCTCGTCGCCTCCTGCGCCTCTGTCTCCCATTCTGCTCCTCCTCGCCGCGTTTGGCGGTGCCTTCCTCGGGCTCTGTGCTGCCCGCACGGCGTTCCCGCCTTTCTCGCTGGCTTGGTCTGTGGGGGCTGGCGCCACAGTGCGACCCTCCGCCGGCTTTTCCAGTCTGCTGCCGTCTTCCGTTCCCGGGTCGGCTCTTAATGAGGTTCATTCTGTCGCTCGCACGTGCATTGCGGCGTTGGCCTATGTGCCTTCGTTGCCAATCGTCTCGCATTGCGCCCCAGTCGAGATTGACCCGCTCCCTGGAGCCGTCCTTGGAGCCGCCGATCCAAAAAGTATCCCCACCAGCGCCGGCTTGGGTTGCGCCCTGCAGCTAATAAGGTTTGCCCGTCGGCCCAGACAACTTCTCTCGCCGCCTGCGCGCTCGCTCGGGGCCGCGACAAAAAAAGTATCCCCACCAGTTCGGTTCGGCTCGCGGGTGGCTCTTCCGTGCTCTTCCTGGGCATGTTCTTCGTTGGCGTGGGCCGTCGTTTGGTTATCCTGGCCGCTGGTGCGGCCGCGGTACTCCGTGCTCGTTCTTGGCGGGCTCGCGACTTCCGGTGTACGCGGGATTCAGGCCAGCCACGCGCTGGCTCTTGTCGCTGTGCGTGCACCTCGAGGGCGACGTGCTCCTGGCGGTCCCGGGCTCCTCCTCTCGCCTCTGAACGGCGCTGCGTCAGTCCCTTGCTTCCCCCTCCCTTCGTCGTCCTCGCCCGTTTCGGCCTCGCCTTTTTCCCGCGCTTGCCAGCTGTAGTTTTGGCTCCTGCCCTGTGCTGCGTAGGCCTGCCTGTCGTTTGACTTACGGGCGCCGCGCGGCTGCCCGCTAGCGGTCGGTGAACAAAAAAGTAGCCCCACCAGCCCATCCAAAAACGCTGCACAGGGGAGTTGAGGTGACCAGGGAAGCGTGGGAGCATGCAGAATAACAAAGTGCGGGGGAAGCCGTCACGTAGCCCAAGAGGGGGAGTATGTAGGAGGATTCGTCGCCGTCCGAGTAGGAGGAGGAAGAGGTGGAGGAGGATGATGAGGAGGAGGAAGAGGAGGAGGAGCAGGTTCAGGGCGAGGATGGGCGAGGAGGGTGAACTCATAAAATAAGAAAGGTGGATGTATTGCAATCGCGATACCCTCGTCGACCCATCCACCGACGATGACCAGACGATTGCCCGTGACCAAAGAAGTGCAAGAGCAGACCAAGACACAAAAAACTTAGGAGACCGTCGTGCCCCAAGAGGGAGGAAGGCTGATGATGGATAGGATGAGGTGGGGGTGGAGGGGGAGGAGGAGGAAAAGGAGGAGGAGGAGGAGAACAAGGAAGAGGAGGGAGAAAGAGGAGGAGGGTGGAGGAAACGGAAGAGGAGGGGGATCAGGAGGAGGAGGAGGAGGCATCCTGCGTTATCTTGAACCATCTTGGAGGCCATCTTGGGCTCTTTGAGGCCCTCTTGGAGCCGTCTTGGGCGAAAACGTACCCTCTGACACCTCGCGCCCCCCCCCCCCCGTTCAGGTCCCGGGGGGGGGGGCGGGGGGGGGGGGGGTTCGCGCCCCCCCCCCCCCGGGAGGGGGTGAAGGGGGGACACCTCGCGCCCCCCCCCCCCCTTTCTGGTCCGGGGGTGGGGGCAAGGGGGGGGGGGGGGTAAACCCTTCCCCGAAGGGGGAGAAGGAGGATGGAAGAGAAAACGCCTTAGACCACCTACGCCCAGAAGGTTGGTGGGATTCAGCACTGCGCGGCACAGCACAGCCCTTGGCATGGTACATCAAGATCGGTACAGTCAGCATTGCAATTGCCCGTCGCCCAATCAGGTGTCTTGAGAACGTGGCCATGCCTCAGATTACTGTATTATTTTCCGTGTTCGTGGGCCGGTCATTTAAAAAAAATGGTGTTCGGGCTCTCGCGAGTTCTTAAGACAACCAAATGATTTCAACGTTTTCATAACGTGCTACCAAGCGGGCCTCTCGCGCGCGCATGTCGGAATCGCTCGAACGCTCCTGTGCGCGTGTTGTCGCACTAATGTCTTGCAAACAACAGGACCAAGTGTACACGCGCGCGTCGTCGCGCGCATGCCGAACTCCATCAAAAACCGTGGGTTCCGTAGGGATTTCAAGATCGGGTGCCCCGAACATGTATAAAAAAACGCATGGTTTTGCAACAATGTTCAAAATGCCTGCGCTCGCGCTCTTGCGAGTTATTCATCAACATTGTCATTCGATGCTGCCAAACGGGGCCCTCGCGCCGCACGTCGAAATCATTCGAATGCCCTTGCGCGCGTGCGGGGGGGGGGGGCGCGATCCGCGTCAGACAATACCATGCGGGCCGCTCTCGCGCGTCGGCGGCGCGCGCATGTCGAACTCCCTCCAAAAGCTTCATCACTGGCGCAAGCAAGCCAGCATCGTCGTCGGCGTGGTCAGCATTGGCGCCGTTACTGGCCTGGCCGGCATCGTTTTCACCATCGCCACCAGCATCGCTACCATCATCATCGCGTCTACCGTTGTCGACAATGCCATGATACCGCGCCCACCCAAGTCGCCGACTCGTACTGAAGTGCCCGCTGGGAAGTGCCCATCAGCCAGCGCCACCGCTACTGCGTCGGTAGCGCGAACATGCGCGTCCAAGCACTCATCGCAATCGCCGCCGCATTGGTTTTACAAACACCGTTGCGGGTGGGTGGGTGGGATGATTGCGGGACCAGTGTAGTGGGCAGTTCATTGCGAACATACATCAACAGCACCACATAAAATGCATCACGTTTATCGCACCACACCTGTTCCACAACATCTATGGCACCACGTAGAGAGTACACCATCGGTTGCACCACATCGACTGCACGGCGCAGGTTGCACCACACATCTGGTACATTACCTATTGTTGGAAATACGTTGTTTGGAATCTACGGTGGCTATCATGAAGATACATTGTTCCCCCCCCCCCGAAGCTATTGTACGTATGTTTTTGTTTCGAGGTCTCTGTGTTTTCTCTACATATCCGTCCTTCCCTCCCCATTCCTCCGTTTCTCCATAATGCTTGTTGCTTGCTCTTTCGAATTCTACCAGTGCACCGCTGACGTGCACGGACATGTCGCGATGTAGAGTTGCAACGGACTTACAAAAGGACTTTTGAACGATTGGGTTCCCCCTCCCTCGCTTTCGGATTTGTATTGGACTTGTATGAGACTTGCAAGCCTGCCTTCCCGATGCTGCAGAACCGCCCCTTTCTGCCCGCGAGCCCTTTTCACGCTCGCCGTCCCACCCTGGCCTGCGTTGCAACTTCGGGGGGCCTCCTCTGTCCTGCAGATGGCATTTTGTTCTTGGTGTCTGACGTATGTTGGGCGCGGATCCGACGCGAGTTCAATACGGATTCGACGTGGATTCGACGCGGATTCGATGCGGACAGTGGCGCGATGGGTCAGACAGGGCCGCCTACGTTCCGATCCGAAACGATGCGATTTGCTGGTTCGGGCCGCGATCCCGATTCGATTCGATCCTGGCAGATTCATTGGCACCGGCAAGGCCAGTCGGAGCTGGGCGCGGCGCCCCGATTTCGATTCCATTCGGGACGGTTCGCTGGCGAACCGATCCGCTTCCGATCCGATCCGAGTTCGCGGTTCGATCCGAGTTTCAGGCTTGACGCACGAGGCCCCCCGGCTATTTGCAAGCTGGGGTGCCACATGCGAACCCGACCCTCCCCCTCAGAAACCGTGGGGGGTTAGGAGTAGGGTTCGCATGTGGCCCCCTAGAAGCGTGACCTGGCTCCGGTGCTCCCTCCAAGTTTCGCTGCGGAGGGAGGCCGGCCCTCCTGCCCGCCCGCCTCACGGGCGCCTCGGCCCCGCCCCCGCGACGTCCCCAGGCCGAGGGCGCGGGGCAGCGGAGCCCACAGGTGGCACAGCACACAATCTCGCAGAGAGCGCCGCGTTCTCCCGCGAGCGCCACAGGAACAGGAGGCGCCCCTTTGAGCGCACGGGCCGCCCCGCCGTGCGCGGGCATCGTCGTCGGTTGTAGCGGCGGGCGCGTCACCGACGTGACCTCGCGCGGGGGCCTCGGCGGGATGCTGCGCGCCACCCCTGTGCGGGCATTGTCGGAGGGGCGTGAGAGGGGAGAGGAGGGGGAGGAGGAAAGGGAGGAGGAGGGGGAGGAGGAGGGGGAAGAGGAGTGTGAAAGAAAGGGAAAGGATAGGAGGAGGAGGAAGAGGAGGAGGAGGAGGAGGAGGACCAGGAGGAGCCGGGGAAATAGGAGGATCGAGGGAAATAGAACGACCAAGTATGAGGAGATGATGATGATGATGATGATGATGATGATGATGATGATGATGATGATGATGATGATGATGATGATGATGATGATGATGATGATGATGATGATGATGATGATGATGATGATGATGATGATGATGATGATGATGATGATGATGATGTGATGCTGATGCTGCTGATGATGATGATGTGATGATGATGATGATGATGATGATGATGATGATGATGATGATGATGATGATGAGGAGGAGGAGGAGGAGGAGGAGGGGAGGAGGAGAGGAGGAGGAGGAGGATGAGGTTGATGATGATGAGGATGAGGATGAGGATGAGGATGATGATGGTGATGACGATGACGAGGAGGAGGAGGAGGAGGAGGAGGAGGAGGAGCAAGAGGAACATGAGGAGGGGGAGGAAGAGTATGCAGGAGGAGGAGGAGAAGGAAGGACGAGGGGGGAGGACTATCAGTATAATTGTCTTTGGAACTGATGGCGCGCCTCTCTCGTGAGTCCCCCTTCGGTTCCCTAGTCTGCTGGGCTCAAGCAGGTGCCGAGTCTTGCGCTCGGACCCAGAGCCCTCGCCCCATCGCGTCGGGAGGTCCCCCCTCGCCTCTCCCAAGGGCCCCGCAGTAGAGCCTCGAGTTCTAGCTCGGGAGGAGGCTCGAGCGGTCCGCCCGCGAAG